AAAGACTCAATTAATTGCAACTCAAAGACAAATAAAACAAGGTGAGATATAACACAAAGAAATCAAGCTTGAATTAAACTAGAAGATTCCTCCCTGGTGGGTCTGCTCTCATGGTACCAGATGGCACTACGCAGGATGCTATAAACTAAGGTCATCAGTGATCTAACCCAGTTGTGAACTCTACAAACTAATACCAGGCAAAATAATGTCCATTTGTGTAATGATGGCACAATTATTATGGGGGTAGCCAACCACTCCCTATTTGAATCTTTCTGTGTGAAGAAATTCATGCTTAATATTGTAAACCTCATCTGAAAACCACAACAAAAGTAGTCTAATATCCTTTGGGGGTGAGGTTGGGATGAGGTGGCTAAGATGGGTACTTACTTGAGTTGACATAGCAATAAACCGCCTCCTAAATGTCTATGTTTATACCCACAGGTGAAGGCTATTCTCAGCTTTAAACAGGGAAGCTTCTTTTTACAGTGAATGACTGCACAAAATGCTGGCAATAAAACGAGTTGAGTGCTAAGGTCCCCCCCGCGGTTGGCCATCCCCTTAAGGCTCGGGGAACACTGCAGAAAAATGGAGTGGAAAGAATGTAAGAGCTTGAAGATGGGGAGAAGGGCTGTGAAATAGCAGCTCCTGAGCATGACGCTGAGCTGGCTACCGTGAACTCAATTCAGCTGTGCATATCGGTACCAGGTTCACAAAGGTCAGGCTGTCTTCACAGTCAGCTGCAGAGGAAGGTGATACATGGTAGGCCCTATCACATACTGCTGACCAGTCTGCGAAGGGTGACACATCAAGTTATACATCCGTGGGGTCTTACCAGGTTGTGGTTAGTTTCAAACTAGGATCACACGGAAAGCCCTGATTAAACTCTGTGGGACAACAAACAAAATCAAAACTAAGAAATAGTGGGGAGAGATTTATAGGGAAGAAGGAGGGTTAGTTGGGCTGGCAAGGAAATGGGAGAGGATGAGGGAAGAGAGAACAAAATACATAATACACACACATATATAATAGTGGAAAATTTAGTAGGAAAAAAGGCAGATTGGTCTGCAATAAACTTAAGTGGGTGAAAGTATTTGCCACATAATGCAAGTTTGATGTCTAGAATTCATGTAAAAGTGGAGAGAACCAACTCCACCAAGGTGCCTTGTAATCTACACACACTATGGCATACATGTGGTTGCTCAAATTCATACATTCACAGCAAAAATGAAACAAAGTTCAAAAGCTTCATAAGTAGAGACTGATAAAGAAAAGGTACACCTTCACCTCTGATCTCTCTGTGTCTTTCATACACACAGAGAGAGACACACACATACACAAACATGCATATACCACACATGCACAAACACACACACAAATACATGTGTCTAGGGGCTGGAGAGATGGTTCATGTGTGAAGCACTTGCAATAGGAGCACCCACATAAAAACTGGCCATAGAGATGCTGTGCACATCTATAACCCCATCACTGGGGAAAGGGGTGAAGACAAGTGGATCTCTGGGGATTTCTAGCCAGACAGTTTAGTCAAATTGGTTTAGTCAACCAGGTCCAGTGCGAGACTCTATCTCAGAAAAGCGAGAGAGAGAGAAAGAGAGAGAAAGAGAGAAGAAAGAAGGAAAGAAAAAAGAAAGAGAGAGAGAGAGAAAGAAAGAAAGAAAGAAAGAAAGAGAGAGAGAGAGAGAGAGAGAGAGAGAGAGAGAAAGGCCTCTGGCCTTCACATGAGCAAACACTTGTCTCCATACATATAAATGCTCTCTCTCTCTCTCTCTCTCTCTCTCTTCTCTGATCTTTTTCAGCAACAAATTCCAAAGCTTGATCAAAACCCTATTAGATTTCATGTTAGTCTGTCAACCCAAACAGAACTGAGCATGATAATCATCCATTCGTTTGTTCTGCTATTTCATAAGTAACAAGTTCATGCCAGAGTCATTCCCACTCAGGTAGCATTGTCTCATCCAGGTTCCTGAACTTTGTTCTGTAGCCATGGAATATAATTTGTTTCATTCTTAAATTCCTTCTCTTACGTAATTGTGCTAAAACACTACATGTTGCCATTTTACTTTAACTCAAAACATTCTAAGAGCACAATGGTACATTCCTCCTATCCCAACACTTGAGAGGATAAGGCAGATGGGTAGAAAGTTTGAAGCTTACCTGAGCAATATAGTGAGAATATGTCTCACAAAAAGAAGAATGGAAAAAAAAAATGGAGAGGAGGAGGAGGAAGGAAGAGAGGAACAAAAGGAGGGGTTGGCCAGGCAGCTCCCCTCTTACTCTAGGAAATCTTTTTAACCAAACTAATTTGAAAATGGATGAAGGGACAAATGAATGAATGAACAAGCAATGAGGTAAAAGCCTATTGCGTGCCCCCCATACATAGAGCACATACCCTCCTTGCACTGGGATTGAACATCGATTTTATAAACAGCACTAACAGAATGTTTGTGAGACAGTCCGGCGGGTTGTCATAATGTTATTTATGTCATACTCATCTATATGCAATCAATATGTACGGTGTGGGGAAATGTGAGAATTGAAGCAGTAGGTGACTGATAGAATCAGTCTCCCTACTACTTATTTCAATCAGGAGGGTGATAATTGGGTATCAATACGCTTATAAGAAGCACCGGAACCATGCCCATGCCTCTCATCCCAGCACTAGAGAGGCTGAGGTAGGAGGATCATCATCAGTTTGAGGCTGGCCTAGGTTGCACAGAGTTTCAGCTCAGCTTTGGCTATAAAGTAAGACCTTGTCTTGAAAAACTGAATATAATGCTCTTCACACAGAGGCAAGTGATAAATATTTCTGCTATCCATAAATATTGCTTAAATGGATGAAGGGACAAATGAATGGCTGAACAATCAATGAAATAAAAGCTATTGCATGTCCACCATATGGATTTTCTTCCAGACTTCTGTTTAAGGGATTGAGGAGATTGTGCATAATGGGGTTTATAACGCTGATACAGGAAAAAGAGCCATGATTTGGTCAACCTGTATTTTGTCTCTTGGCAGAATTTCTATTCCACTTAATAAGAACCAGATCTGGCCATTAGGGAGATGCAAATCAAAACAACGCTGAGATTTCACTTTACACCCATCAGAATGGCTAAGATCAAAAACTCAAGTGACAACACATGCTGGAGAGGAGGTGGAGAAAGAGGAACCCTCCTCTATTGCTGGTGGGAATGTAAACTTGTACAACCACTCTGGAAATCAATCTGTCACTTTCTCAGACAATTAGGAATAGCGCTTCCTCAAGATCCAGCCATACCACTCCTAAGCATATATCCAAAAGAGGCTCACATATACAACAAGGACATTTGCTCAACCATGTTTGTAGCAGTTCTATTCATAATAGCCAGAAGCTGGAAACAACCTAAATGTCCTTCAACAGAGGAATAGATACAGAAATTGTGGTACATTTACACAATGGAATACTACACAACTATTTTAAAAAAGGAGGAAATCATGAAATTTGCAGGTAAATTTGCAGGTAAAAAGTGGGAACTAGAAAAGATCATCCTGAGTGAGGTAACCCAGAAGCAGAAAGACACACAGGGTAGTTACTCACTCATAAGGGGATATTAGACATATAATATAGGATAAACACACTAAAATCTGTACACCTAAAGAAGCTAAAAAACAAGGAAGACCCTGGGGAAAATGTTCAGTCCTCATACAGAAGGACAAACACGATACACTTTGGAAGCAGGAGACAAGAAACAGGACTGAAGCCTACCACAGAGGGCCTCTGAAAGACTCCACTGATCGAGGTATCAAAGCAGATGCTGATACTCATATCCAAACTTTGGGCAGAGGGCATGGACTTTTATGAAAGAGTGGGGAGATAGAGGGACCTAGCTCCAAAAGGAGACCAACAGAGCCAAAAAAAAAAAAAAAAACTGAACCCTGGGAACCCTTCAGAGACTGATACCCCAACAAAGGACGATGCATGGGAAGGACCTAGAATCCTGGCTCAGATGAAGCCCATAGACTCAGTCTCCAAGTGGAGTCCCTAGTAAGGGGAGCAGGGGATGTCTCTGGCATGAACTCAGTGGCTGGCTCTTTGATCACCTCCCCCTGAGGTGGATGTAGCCTTGCCAGGCCACAGAGGAAGACAGTGCAGCCAGTCCTGATGAGACCTGATAGGCTAGGGAAAGATAGAAGGGGAGGAAGACCTCCCCTATCAGTGGACTGGGGAAGGGGAATGGGAGGAGATGAGGGAGGGAGGGTGGGATTAGGAAGAGAAGAGGGAGGAGGCCACAGCCAGCACACAAATTGAATAAATTGTAATGAATGATAATAAAAAATAAAAAATAAAATGCAATAATAATAATAATAATAATAATAATAATAATAATAATAATAATAATAACCTGATCTGAAGACAGAGAGTTGGCTGAGTCCTAACCAGGGCATCATTACTGAACAATTGAAACAAAGATGTATTTTAAGTACTATGTGGGAGAAGTGTGCACAGTTTTCAACCTCCCCTTACCCCATCTAAACCCACCCTTAACTGGGGGTGGGGAGGCAAGACTGTTGCTTCGCCTCCCACATACTCTGGTTACCTCTTTCACTGAGGCCTGAATGCATTCGGTGCTGCCTCCTCCCGCTTGTAAATCTACACAGCTATTTGTTTGTCAGATGATTTTTCTAAAGCAGTCGTTCATTGCTTTTCAGGTTATGTGGTGGAGAGACATGCAAGCAATGAGGCACGGCTCCCACACCTTACCTCAACCTTCCCTAACTAGGAGAATGATCAGAAAAAAAAAAAAAACCAATGGGCAAACAGCTTTGCTAGTTATCCAAGCAGTTATGGAATAAGATAAACCTGAAGGTGTAGTTTTCCCCCACCGAAAAAAAAAAAAATCACAAAATGTTGCCTAAATTGAATGTCCCTGGAAGAGACCCCTCCTGTGAAAAGCTCCCTTTTGAAAATGGTGTTTTTCAGATAGACTGGTTTTCCACTCACTCACCTTTTCCCCCTTTGAACTACTGTTCAGTTTTGGGGACATATTTCAGTTCACTTTTAATATTTTGGATCTCCGACAGGTTGACAACAGGTCCTGGGAGTTTCTTAGCTCCAGGAATTGGATTCTTCTCTTCCTGCGAGGTGGAAGGAGCCTCCTGAAAAGAAAGGGGGAATATTCAACTCACCAAAACCAAACATATTTCATCTCTCAGGTTCATGATATACAGCGGGAAAATGAATATCAAAGGAAGAAAGTCAGAGTGTGATTCTAGCACAGTGACTTTCTCTTGTGTTGTTGTTCAGAGAGCCTTAGAGTTTCAAGAAAATTCCCTGAAGTTTGTATAGGAATGTAAAATAATGCTGTAAGAAAAAAGTTCTTTCCCTATGACTTAGGATACATTAGACAACAGTTCAGTGTCTAGTAACTAATAAATAATGACAACAGTTAAATTGAATTGTTTCCCACAAGAGCATCTTCTAAAAGTGAATTTAATTTAGTATCATACCATTATCACATATCCAATGGCAGAAATCTGTAAATTGCCAGTGCACAGCTAGCCCTAATTAGTCCAGGAGTTTTCAAAAATTTGTTCAGAGTGTAGTGGCTGTCAGCCTTTTGTTGTATGGGAACATACAACATATGTTGTGCCTTTGGGAAACATAAACTCAGGACATAAAGAAAACATCTTTGAATATGGGTTTTGAATATGAGAGAAAATGACAGCACAGGCCAATCTTTGTCTGATGCTTTGAGTAGTTTAAATTTCCCATCATTAAAGAGTATTTGTTTTAGGGAGGAGCCCAGAGCTTTTTCTTCTTTTGTGTGGCTCCTCCAGTGCCTGATGACAACGGTTCGAAAGAATATGTGATGATATTTTTGTTTAACTAATCAATCCCATAAGCAACCCATACCTCTATATGCATGTCCCAAGCACACATAGAAAAAGACTATTAACCACTAAGCTCAGTTTCTGTGTTACTACAGAAGAAAATTGTGTGCTACTCCATTCTTCTACCTGCCCGAATAAAGGTATTGGGAGACCTTTGATCACCCTGGCAGCCAGAGTATCATGTCTTGGATCACATTATTTCAGGGGTAACTGAGTGATTGCCCTAACTTTTACCATACATGCTGGCAAATAATGACTGAATGTACCATTCTTAAGATGGATCCAAACCTGGGAGACAGGGACTCCTCGTAAGAGAAATTTAGGCTACAGAACTGGGCTTAAAGTCACACTGGGGAAGGTTCCATGAGGTGCTGAGAAGAAGGTAAATTCTTTTGTGTTTGGGTGTAAAGTTCTGTCAATGTCTGTTAAGTCCATTTGATTCATGACCTCTGTTAGAGACATTGTTTCTTTGTTTTAATTTCTGTTTTTGTCCTTTGTTGAGAGTGGGGTGTTGAAGTCTCCCATTATTAATGTGTGGAGATCTATGTGTGGTTTAAGTTTGATCAATGTTTCTATTACAAATGTGGGTGCCCTTGTATTTGGGGCATAGATGTTCAGGATTGTGATGTCTTCCTGGTGGAATTTTCCCTTGATGAGTATGAAGTGTCCTTCCCCATCTCTTTTTATTAATTTTGGTTGAAAGTCTATTTTATCAGATATTAGAATGGCTACTCCTGCTTGCTTCTTGGGTCCATTTGCTTGGAAAGCCATCTTCCAACCCTTTACCCTCAGGTAATGTCTATCTTTGTGACTTAGGTGTGTTTCTTATATGCAACAGATTGCTGCGTTTTGTTTACGAATCCATTCTGTTAGTCTGTGTCTTTTTATTGAAGAATTGAGTCCATTGATGTTGAGAGAGATTAATGACCAGTGGCTGTTAGATCCTTTGATTTTGATGTTGGCTGTGATCATAAGTTTATGTGCCTTGTTGCTTTCTGTTTTACTGTAGCCAGGTTAATGATTTCCTGTGTTTTCTTAAAAGTAGCTAATTTTCTTGGGTTGTATTTTCCCTTCCAGTGTCTTCTGTAATGCTGGATTTGTGTGTAGGTATTGTTGAAATTTGTTTTTGTCATTGAATATCTTGTTTTCTCTGTCTATGAGGACTGAGAATTTTGCTGGGTATAGTAGCTTGGGCTGACATCTGTGTTCTCTTAGGGACTGCATGATGTACATCTAATGGGACCTGAAAAGGATCATCCTGAGTGAGCTGTACCAAAAGCAGGAAGACACACATGGTATATACTCACTCATATAGACATATAACATAGGATAAACCTACTAAAATCTGTACATCTAAAGAAACTAATCGAGAGGACCCTGACTAAAATGCTCAATCCCCATCCCAAAAGGCAAAGAGGATGTACATCAGAAGAAGAAGAAAAGAGGAAACAACCTAGGAACCTGCCACAGAGGGCCTCTGAAAGGCTCTGCCCTGCAGACTGTCAAATCAGACACTGAGACTTATGGCCAACTGTTGGGCAGTGTGCATGGAATCTTATGTAAGAAGCGGGAGCTAGTAAGATCTGGAGAGGACAGGAATTCCACAAGGAGAGCAACAGAACCAGAAAATTTGAACACAGGGGTCTTCCCAGAGACTCATACTCCAACCAAATACCAGACATGGAGATAACCTAGAACCCCTGCACAGATGTAGCCCATGGGAGTTTAGTGTCCAAGTGGGTTACATAGTAATGGGAAGAGGGACTGCCTCTGACATAATCTGATTGGCCTGCTCCTTGATCACCTCCCCCTGAAGGGGGAGCGGCCTTACCAGGCCACAGAAGATGACAATGCAGCCACTCCTGATGAGAACTGATAGACTAAGATCAGAAGGAAGGAGAGGAGGACCTCCCTTATCAGTGGACTTGGGGAGGGGCATGCGTGAAGAAGGGGGAGGGAGGGCTTATGGGGGGATACAAAGTGAATAAAGTGTAATTAATAAAATTAAAAGAAAAAAAGAAAAAGAAGTCACACTGGGGCCTGTGTTTCTTCCACCAAGCCCTTCACTCTTCCTTCTCTGCATCTGGGTCTCAACAACTCTCTTGTAGCCCTCACCCATATTTCTTACAAGTGTTTCCCCCAGTAAATAAATTGCATGCTAGTCTGTCCTTCTATCTGCACACTAAATATCTGCTTCTTAGAGTGCTTGAACTAGCATAGTCCCCAGGGCAACACTGCCATAACTTCATCTGCTTAACCAAGAGTTGGATAAACCAATGTGTGCCTGTGGTGTGGTATGGGGTGTGTGTGTGTGCGCGCATGTGCGTGCATGCATACATGTGTGCCTGTGTGCATGTGTGTTTGTCAGGTATAAGAAACTGCACATCTGCCGCCTGTGAAGGACAGGATTAGAGCCAGTGCTGTTAGTCCAGGTCTGGTGGCTGCCTGTGTCTCATTCTCAAATCAGTTAGCACTTATAGGAAGAATGTGTTCAAGTTTCCCCAAACTCTGATAAATCAGTAGGTGGGTATGTCCCTTACAGAAATGTGTTTAAGCTGTTTATTGGGGAGAATGGGTAGACATAAAAGACTGAGGGGTTAATCCTCTTGTAATGGCTAATGGGACTTCCTGTAGTTATTTTCTGTGAAGCTGGTACAGTGCTGATTAAATAGCTAATGTGTCACCCACACTAAACAATAAAGAATTCGCTGTGAATGCTGTAAATCCCTGGAAGATATTGTTTCCTTACGTCCATGTACAGAACCATAGGCTTGGCTTCTTCTCTCCACGTGAACACATGCATCAGTTGTAAGCGTAGATGGAGAAAAGGTCATTAGAACTGTAAAACACCCACCAGGTATTCCAGAATGTTCTTTGCTGGGCTTTTCAGGAAGGAATTTTTTAACAAGGCAATAAAGTGTTGCTCCTTTTTAAATATGTGCAGCAGTGAAATGAAAAAAAAAAATGTTTCACTACTTATAAATGCTCCCACGGTTGGAGGTGGGTAGATCTCAATAAAGAGGAATGGAGAGAAAAAAAAAATGTTTCCAGATTCTTCTGCTAAGTTCCCAGTGAATCACCTTCACTGCTGGCACATTTAACACGCACAGCCAATGTCTGCACTTATGTGTCTGGGGCAGGTGAACATACACAGATTAATAATAGTAATGCTTAATGCTAGATGTCTTCCCATCAAGTTATTAAGGCCTAAATGGACTGCTTTTTTTTTCTTTTCTTTTTTAAAATCAAGATAAGGCTTGGCATTTGATTTAGTAAGATGGTATAGGATGAGGATTGCCACTATAGTTAATAATTTGATAGTACGATATTATTCAGGAAGCAAAGAGGATTTTTACAATGAAGTTCTACCATCTTTTAAAAACGTAACAGAAATAAGATTATACTGCTTCTATGAATTTGTCATTATAAAAATTTACAGTAAACTAAAGCACGAAGAAAGGCTGCTACTTGAATAGTGGAGGATAGCCCTTTTCACAGGTATCTGAATTCAGCAGGGAAATAGAGGGTATTTCTTCACTGTGTACATAAAGAGAGCATGGAAACCTTAGCAATCACTGTAGCACTCCCTGTTTCAGAAACACTGCTGTGAAGGGGCACGCCTGCCTCGGGAATCCCAGAAGACCTGTAAAACTCTGCAGTATGGTGAAGCATTTCCAAGCTGTGTCATCTTTCTGCCCTTCTTTACTATCAGATATCTCCAGGCTCTCCGACATGAGGTAATCGAAATTGACCTACTTATTCTTCATGTTCAAAAACTGAAGAAGACTCATTGCTAGCAGCAAATACTTCAGTTGCTAGAGGTTCTAAGGTACATGCGCCAAGTCGTTTAATTCTCACACCAACTCTACACATCTGCTTTTATCTCTGCCTCATCATTGAGACTAATGTATGAAAAAGCTAAAAAAAAAAAAATGACCAAAGCCTCACAACTAAGAAATGACTGGACTGGAATTAAATAATAATATGTTTGCATCTTATGACAGGACAAGATGAAAAGGAAATATTTAACAGAAAGTCCCAATGCACTATTATGTAGCATAATAAGAATGATATTTTAGTTGAAAGGAAGAATTGGAGGCTTAGAAATGGCTCCTCAGTACCCTCAGATCACTTCAAGCAAGCAGCTGTTTTTCTTACACAAAAGGATTTGGATAGAAGATCCCTGTACCGGGATCATGTTTATTTCTAACAAGCCATGTACAGAGGATGCAGTCCCTGTCTGTAGGTAGAACAAAGAGCTGGTCAGAAGCCACAGGTATACAAGAGAAAGTCAGTGTTCACAGAGATTATCAGACAGCCAATGACTCAGGCAGTCTTTCTGCTAGGACACATCCATTTGTTTACCTCGTAGAGGATGTCATGTTCAAAATACTGTCTGAGTTTACCTGGGGAACTAACTGACTAGAACAGAGGTGAGATACTCTGGTTACTGATGGTGTATTACACAAAACAAACTATACTACAATTCTGTTAACATGAGGCTTGGATATGAATACTAAATCTATGAATGAAAGCAATTCTTAGTTTGCGAACACAGATAACAGTAGTGAATGTGAATATGGAAATTACTCTGAATTAATATTCTATTTCCCCATTCAAACTATGCCACAGAAGGTAGCTAGGGCCTCAAGCCAAGCCACAAAAATCCTATTTAATGCACCCTTGTAGCCAAGCTACCCAACTACTCCCTTTGTGATGTTTCTCTGGGAAATTTATTCTGGGACCTAAGCCAGAGTTTGAGTCATGAGGTCACTTCCTCCATTGAACCCACAAGCCCTAAGAGTTCCTATCTGCTTGTATTGTGTAAGGAAGAGCCTTAGCTCTCTGTTCTACCCAATGAACCCCAAGACAAGGAGTGGCACAATACGTGGCACATCTCTAGGATCTGGGGATCTTTGTAGTTATCTTGTTCTCTCTACCCTATGAGGAATATCAATTGGTCATTTAAATACATGAGTGGTTAGAACATATGTGGTCACAAAGCAAGTGACATTTGTCCTTGGTAATTTTATACAGTGTCTCCAAACCATCATACTAGGGATAATAAAAGAGTGAAAGGAAAGAGCTTCCCTATCCTCCAAAGGAAGGTACTCATGTTGTACAGCAATGAGCCCAAGGCTGCCTGCTCCACAAAGGAAAAGGGGGAAGTGAACCTCCCCACCCCCAGCTGTTATGTCAGCCAATCTGATGAGAAAGCAGGACCAAGCTGCCTTCTGACTAGCTGTAGTAGTAGGGTCAGACACAGCTTAAGAGGAAGGTGGTAGAGAAAAAAAAAATACAATGGAAAATAAATGGAGGTGAGGGCAGAGTCCCATGGCCATCCCTTCTAAACTTTCCATGTCTCTTTCTTACAACCAGCAGAGTATGAGGCCTAGAGTCTTTAATGTAAATCAGATAATTAGATCAATTTATGAAGAACTGCTTATTTATCAAACACCTAACAGAATATACCATGTCCACTATTCCACTTATTCCTTCCTCATGGCAGCCCTCTGAGGGATAGAGAAGATCCAGCTTGACTACCACAAACTCATATACTTGTCTAAAGTCCCAGACAGACTACCCAGGATCATAAGCTCACAGGAAGGCAAAGTTAGAAGCACCAGAACTTAAGATAATATAACCAGCCGGGCATGGTGGAGCACACCTTTAATCCTAGCACTCAGGGAGGCAGAAGCAGGTGGATCTCTGTGAGTCTGAGACCAGCATGATATACAGAGAAAGTCCAGGACAGCCAAGGCTACACAGAGAAACCCTGTCTCAATAATAATAATAATAATAATAATAATAATAATAATAATAATAATAATAATAATA